CCAAGATAATCAGCCTTAGGGAAACAACAGCAGGGGGCGAAAGAAAGGTTTCTTGGGGGATTCATTGTCTCCTAAGAAGAGAATGAAAATAACAGAAGATTTTCTCTTGCAGCTATCCCACAGGAGCGAGATGAGGGATGCTGCGGCTGACTCCCGGCCGGGGCAGCCCACGAACCCCTTCCTGCATGATTATTTTTAACGAGGAGTTTGGCATCTCAGCATCCTAGAGATGCTCCTGCCCCCAGACCCACCTGCAAACAGCTCACCCTGACCTGCAGAGGGTCCCTGGCTGGGCTCCGGGCAGGGGCTGCGGTGCCGGGGTGATAGGGGCTCTCGTACCCATCTGCGGGATGCCGGGGAATAGAGGAACCGCTGTCCCCAGCTCAGCAGCTCCGTACATGCTGAGGGGCTGTGCCCCGGGATGCCATCCCCCAGCCCCACCTTTGCACCATGCTCATTATAAGCGTGTTGCTCCTTGCAGACACCCCGCAGGTCTCTGCGGACACCCTGGCATCTCCTGTGTTCGGGGCCCCAGGTGGACTGACGTGATGTAGGTTGTGGTGAGACACAGTCAAGCTTTGGGAAAACAAGGGTGATGAGTCCTAAAAATAAATAAATAAATAAATAGATAAATAAAGTGGCCTGACTTACCAAAGCACTGAGCATCCCAACGTACAGACTCGATGCCATCGCTTTGGCAAATATCTCAGCACACATATATACATTTATATGTGTATGAATAGCAATCCACATTCTGAACAGATTATTGAGTGTGATACAGAACGCTCGCAGGGAATAATGCAATAAAAGGAATTTGGAAGAGTTCCCCCAGAGCAATTGGAGAGGGGGCTGCGCTCCTCCAGGGAATGGGAGGAAGAGTTTGGGGCTTCGGGATGAATAACTGGATGCTGCCTGCAGAGCCCAGCTCAGCTGGTAACCCCTGCAGCCCCTCAGCAATGTCACCATACCTAGGGCTACAAAGAGATTGCCCTGCAGCAGCTCTTTTCTGCAGCAATTAGCCTCCAAGGAGCAGCAGCTGTGGATGCCACTGGCTCAGCTGCACACCCACACCTGGAGAAACACAGGAAGATTTTCACCATTAAAAAAATAATAATAATTCCACAAAGCAATTGTGGAGCACAGCTTTAACACACCGAGGCAGAAGTCTCACCGTGCTGAGGCTGGTTTAGGATTGCGACAGAAAATACGGCGCCATGCCGGGCTGCATTGCATTGACGCTGCAGCAGCTCGGCTGCTTCGGGCACCTAGACGAGCAGAGTTAGGGCTCCTGAGGAGGATGATGGGCAGAGGATGTTCATCACCTCGGCCAGGATGGAGATGCACGCCTGTAATCACCCGCTGCCTGTGCCAGGGAGGGATCCAGGGCCAGCAACATGGGTGGGAACCGAAGCTCGGCCATCTGTAGGAATAGTGATGCAGCATTTGCCAGGGAGGGTTCATCCAGCATCGGGTGCAGGGGCTGCAGTGCCCAGGGCTGGACCCGCCCCTCCACC